GGGGCCAGGCTTGGCCTGGGAGGTTAGCTCGCTTGCCTCGTAGAGACCACCGTCGAGCCATTTTCAAAAGGTTCTCCCACCTTGGAGAAGAGTGAGACTGTGAGGAATCAGTGAGGGTGGTGCCTGCGCTTCTGAGACAAAAAAAAATGTATTCTTGTCCTCAGAATAGTGCAGGGGGGGCAACCCCTGGCACGCATGCCAAACACGGCACGCCAGTAACTTTCGCTGGCACGCGAAACCCTCTCTTATAATCTTCCATTTACAATTGTGAGTCTTTGTTCTCAGTGATGAATTCTGTTAAGTCTCGCAATAGGAGTAGCCTGAGGGACGAAAGTAGTAGCCCGTGCATCTCTCTGAAGGTCACGAAATATAAACCTGATGTAAAATCTCTGTCATCAGTGATGCAGCAGCAAAAGTCCCACTGATAATATCAAACGGAGTCATAAAGTTTTCTGTCGGACTAGCAGTGCACATGTATACATTAAAAAACAAATGTATTTTTTCATCCTCATAGACTGTGTTTCTGTCGCTCGAATGAATTTTATTATTTCTTCAAGGTTCTTCACATACGTACACCTTAAGAGATATCAAGTAGGCGTAACGTGTTCTCAAAAAATTAGGGTTGGCACGCAGAAGAATTTTGAGTCAAAGATTTTGCTGGGTTTGGCACGCACTCACCAAAAGGTTGCCCACCCCTGGGATAGCGTATCCAGAGACGGTCACTCTGGAGAGAGTGATCAGGCTGTTGCAGATGCCCAGCCTGGGATGGGATGGCCCATCCTCAGAGGAGTTGACAGAAGAAAGAGAGCGAGGTCTTGTCCTCTGTCCTCCATCCTCTCGGCGATTGCCTTTCTCCCCAGCCTGGTCCCCGTCCCGCCGCCCAGGGGGCTGTCAGTAGAACCTGACTTCTGCATATTCCGAGTTGGTGTCCTTGTCCTGCTGGGCCTCCTGCGGCCGGAGGCCTGGGAAGCGGAGGGCAGCGTAATGGATCTCCTGTTGGCTGTTCCTTGATTCTGGCACTGGAGGGGACATGTTCCGTCCTGGGGAGCTAGCAGCTGCAGGAGGGGCCCTGGAAGGGCTGCTGGTCTTGGCCTTTGGATTCCGAGCCTAAAAGGAAAACGACCATCATTCATTCATTCATTCATTCATTCAGCAAATACTTGTGGGCACCCTGTGGGAGGCACTGATGGAGGCACTGGGGTTACATCAGGGAGTAAAACAAAGTCTCCGTTCTCACTGAGCCCACATTCCATCTCGGGACAAAAACAATGAACAAGTAAGTGCCTGTGGTCTAAACCACTCAGTCTGTGGCTCTTTGCTATGGCCACACAGACTCACACAGGTCGGCTCCTGTAACCACCATCAGGACGCAGACGGCTCTAACCCCACAGAGACCTGGCCCTAACCCCAGGCAGCACTGATCTGTCCTCCAGCTCTGCAAGTTCATCCTCTCAAGAGTGTTATGTACGTGGAATCATGTGCATGTGACCCTTAGAGATCAGCATTGAAAACAATGTTTTGGCCCTAAGAAGCTCTATTTAACTGGTTGGTAGCAAGTATCACCCATGTGTTCCTTCCTTCTGATTGCATTCAAGGGGGTTGGTGGACCTTTGGGGCTTTAAATGGATATGATGTGCAGAGAAATAGATTGGGGGTGTGGGAGCAGAGAGGACCCACAGAAGAGGGGGGTGGTGTCCATGTGGTCGAGGGAGGCAGGAGAAGTGGTTTGAAGGGATTTTGCTGATGGATTGATTGGTGGCGGCAGGTGTGTGTGGGGGGGGTGGGGGTGGGGGTGGCGGTTTGATGGAGAAGAGAGGCATGAAAGGTGACTGAGGCTTTAGGCCTGAGCAGCTGGGAAGATGTGCTATTTGCTGTGAAGGGGAGGATGGAGTAGTTACTCATAAGTTTGCCTTTGGACAGGCTACGTTTGAGGTGTCTGTTAGACATCCCAGGGAGATGGAGCCTAGAGAGGTGCCCAAGAGTCTAGGGTTCAAGGGTGAATGTAGGGTTCAGGGGCGAGTCTAGAGTTCAGGGGTGAGTTTAGAGTTCAAGGGTAAGTGTAGGGTTCAGGAGTGAGTCTAGAGTTCAGGGGTGAGTCTAGGGCTCAGGGGTGAGTCTGGAGTTCAGGGGTGAGTCTAGGGCTCAGGGGTGAGTCTACTAGTCCCCCCACTTTAAAGTTCAAGAAAAGGCTCAGAGAAGTTAAGTGACTTGCCCAAGAACACACAGCGATGAACACGGGTGTGAACCCCGGCAGCCCAGCCGTTAGTCACCAGGACACACTGCCTCTCAGCAATGCTAATGATATTACATCACCTATATACATAAGAGGCAAATATGCAAAGTGTCCCTTTGGGAATTCCACCGGGAGTTCCATCGCTCACTATGACGTGCACTGACCATCAGTGGGCAGTGCAGAACGAAGGAAGCCCCTGGCCAGCAGCCATAAGACCCCAATGGCCCTGATCACCCACCAGGCCTACGTACCCTACCGTGCACGAAGTTCGTGCACCGGGCCTCTAGTTCATTATAATCAGTAATGTCCTTGGTGGTGGTGATAAGGGCATAGCTGCTACAAACCGAGCAAGGGCGCGTTTTGACTCCTCTGACCAACTCTCAAAGGAAAGAGAGGGAGACGTGGAGGCTCAGAGGGAGCCAGCGACTGTGGTCAAGGCCTCATAGGCAGTAAGTGCGGGAGTCAGGCTTTGCATCCAACAACCATTCTCTTTCCACCTCGATGTCCCAGGGGTGCAGGGCGGGGATGGGGCACCGTGCCCGGGCCACTCACCCGGCCGCGGGCGTTGGGGACCACGTTGATGTAATCCAGGATCGTGCTCCTCCGGGTGAGCCGGGGCCTCCACGCCTCTGTCCTCGCCGGAG